ATAAAATCTAAACAGATAGCTTTGTCATCATTATCGATTGTTTATCTATTCAAACGCATACATAATTGTATATTGTAGCTTTACGAAACCGACTGAATTTAGTTGGATAGCTAATAAAAGCCAAGAAGCACCAAACACCTATTTCATCTTGGTGCAGCACTCTTCAACAACACCCATTTATAACCTGTTGTGACTTGAGAAGATATCTTATTATTACAAATGTATGAGCGATTAACAGAAGCTTTTAATATGAGCGCGATCAAAGCAAACTAGATAAATTTGAAAATAAAACACAACAGAAATTTATCATTGAAAACCCACATGCTACTAGAGATAAGACACGAAGAGTTTTCGATATCCTAAATGAACATGACACACGAATAACAGTGTTACCTTATCAATGAATAACAATTGCAGAAATTAGGATTATCGATATCGAACCATTCTAAATATTGAATGTATTGTTTATATCATTGTATCAACTTTATTTTTAAGTTAGAATCTCAATTGTAAGTGCATTTATTTTACTCAATATTGTTTCAACTGGAAATAAACCGTTATGGAAAATATTATGAACATAGATAGTATCAAACGATAGAAGTCGCTGTGACATAGCTCACATTGAATTATACAGGTCGCTCTATATTTTACCGTGAATTTCAACAACATTAATTCTTAGCATCTAGTCCTCTAAAATGTCCCACAGTATTTGATTCTCTATTCAGTGGCCCCATGAAGCTCTTGTAGAACAATTGGGCATATATATATATATATATTTACAGTGGAAAAAAGTGATTTAGCAAACGTTGAAAAAGAAATCATATGTCAAGTAGCGTAACATATTAGCAGGAAAAATGTATTACAACTGTGATACAGACAACTAATTAAAAAAACTGAACTGTTAACATGTAATCTGAACTTGGCGCTACAGCCCTTATTTGAGTAGGAGGTTAAGGCCAGCCAACGACTTAAAAATAATATAAACCAGGACGATAAGTCATCAAAAACAAAAATATTTAATGTGCATCTCATTTAATCTTTAGGCAGTTTTAAATTTACAACTTTGCAAAAGAGCAATCAAAGAATACCAGTAGTGACGGATTCGCCTACACTACACTACAACACTAAACAAATTGCGAAGTTGAATATCTTGAAAAATTAAGTTATTTCCAAACACTCCTTATCAGGAAACAAATCATTTAATAAAGGAGGTAGTCTGACGCTCTCGAACAGATGAAACTCCCTGTTATGACTGTACTATCAAAAGTTTAGATAAATATAACCTAAATGACTGTCACAGAATTTTAGCATATTTAATTAGGATTTAATGGTTTAACTACGTTTATGACATTTGGGTGACCAATTAAAACCTGAATTGACCGACGGAGTCCAAAGAACTTAAGAAGTGTTACAGACAGTTCAATGGAGAGCGGGACTCGCAACATAATAGAAGAACTCATCAAACTAGTTAAATGCATTACTGCTTATATCAGACGGATTCCACAAAAGCATCAAGCACAGCTTATTTACACTACAATACAATTATAAAAACAATGGTAATAAGGATCATGTTTATAAGTTTTCGAGAAGAAACTCAAATAAAATTGAAGGGCGGGAGTTGAAGATCATTTCACTTCACAAAAAGCAGAAATATCGATAAAGAACATAAAGTATACAGTAAAAATAATTAAACAAAAGAGATGGTTGCGACGTAAAATCTCAAAACAAAGTAGATAAGCCCAAGTTCCCATAATTCAAAACAGAAGATTAAGATTAAATCTATAAAAGGAAGGAGATATTAATGAGGACTAAGAATAACATGAGCACGCAAAAGAAACAGTATTAAAGTGGTGAAATCATGATGAATAAAAAGTGCGAACTTGATCTACTATGACTGACTTACAGCTATCATCATGACTTCTATTGTTGCGTTTTTCTTAATATTCTTGCAGTCTCAGCTAGGATGCATAAACCCTCTTTCATTGTTCAAACCAAAGGTCAACAACTTTATTATTTTTACGTTCTGATCTAAGAAAAATATGAGGCTTTTTTATTCACACTTGCAATAGTAAGTATCACATGTTTTTCTAGGTAATGATTTAGCATCCTTAAAATGTCTTAATTAGCTTGGTCAATGTAAGTTCGTGTCCTCATAAACTGATGACTTCTTTACTACGAAATCTACATCACAGTAAGCTCGATGATTTCACCATACACATATGTACGTATATCCCTCCTTATAAACTATGTCTGACAACTGTATAGTAATGCATTTGACAGCTCTACAGTGCATTCACCAAGGAATACAAATTCGTGTGGATGATGGTGACTGCTAGGTCATCTGCCACATCAAATCTACAAATTACCAAATAAAAGCTTTCGAAACATTTAATATAAGACTTTGCAACGAATTATTTAGATATCACTTTCAAGTTAATAAAAAAGGCCCTTATGAGCTGCAAGTTGGTACCCTTTCTACAAAAATTCATGAGTTACACATATCTTCCTTGTCAATATGTCGCTATTCATGCTTAGTTTGCACAAGATTGGTGTTTTTGAACGAACAGTCAGTCATTCAGATATAACGTAGGACCAGGCACATACATGCATCGATCCAAGTTGCTATACTTCATTAGCACAACAAGATGAACATTAAATTCAGAGAAATGTGGTTACTTCAATGGTAGTAATGTATAAAAGAAAGATTGTGTATAAGGATATAGTACAGGAAAGAAGAAAGGTATAACGTAATTTTAACCTCACTGCTTAAGGGAAGACAAAGAGTTTACAGACCGACGCCATTGTGATCAATCCTGAGCTAAGTCACACAGTCTCCAACCATGGGTTACGACAGTCACGCGGACCCCAACCAAGTAGTCTGCATCTACCAACATGACTAGGACTAGAAGATGGCGACTTCAAGGACTGATGCCACGTTTTGGTTTGGCCGCTCCTCACCTTCTTCCAACCATCCTCAACACTAGTCAGCATTGCGTGTCGCGGTAATTGATGTTCAGACATACGTAGCACGTGGCCCGACCATCTTAGTCGATGAGAATTCACAACCTAATAGGCTTATTTACCACCGTTGCCTAATACCCTGAACTTATATCTAGCCATTGAAAACCAGTAAGCTATTAGATTTTAGAAACTTGGAATTCCCGTACTTTATACTCGACTCAAAAAAGAAAAACGGATGATATACAAGGAAAATATCTTATTCTCAATTTTTTAATTAACATTTTATTTCTTCTAACTAAAGGTACTTAACTATCACAAAGGATCCCGACAACGAACCACCAATTTTCACAATTCCGTCTGGCTTCAAGTGTAAATTATTCCTAACTACTACCAAGTTAAAGCACTAGCGTAAGGTTCCAATTTATATTGGGATAAGACTAAATGAGCCGAGAAATCTGAGGAGTACAGGATTTACAGCAAGAGAATGTGAACGTGAGAGAATAAAATGTAGACCAATGAGAAAGACTTAAAAGTCATACGAACAATTTGAAGAACTTATATGAAAGTCTTTTACCGGAAGGACTATTTGGAGGACTAACATTATCATGTTAAAAATCATCAAGGATTAAATACAAGTTAAAAATTTAAAAAATACTTGCTTGGTACTTAAACCACCTATGAATTTTATAGAGCAAACTATGTTGAAATATTGTTTCAAAGAAGTTTTTATATCGACGTTCATTTCATTCGATAATGATTGATTTTTACCGTTATTAACTAATATATATTTTTTTTCGCAAACAAATACATGACTTGTTTGTTGACATGAGCAAGTCATCAATGAAATGTTGTAGTAGTATAATATGTTACATACCTTTTCTCTTTGTTTTAGTGACCCTGTCATACGTAGTGTAGAAACCGGGTAATGCATGGATCGGTTCGTTTCTATATCACATCAGTAAGGCGAGGTTTCAGAACAGTATGATTAAATACGGTATTAGCGATAGTAGAAAAGATTCAAGATGGCGTTCGGGTAAATACGGATTCTTGAAATGAACAAAATTTGAGGTAATGAAGAAACTTAAGATACAATAGAAAGACAAGGAGTGAATGTACCTGGGCCATTGAAAATGATCCCGAGCCATGTCATCCAACGTCTCCAACCACTGATCGCAGTTATGGCACAGACTCTGAACAGGTAGTCTACACCAATCAACATTTCTCAGCCCAACAACTGATAACTGCATGGACTGATGCCAAGTATTGGTTTGCCCTACCTTTCTTCAAACCTATTACTATGCAAACTAACATCGCGCGTTGAGGTAGGCGGTGGCCATACATAATAAATGTCCCGATCACTAGTTCATTTGTGATACGTCATAATTTTTTACAATCAAAACTTAAAAGCTCCGCATATATTCACAAGCTACAAATCCATACGCTGATAAAATTAGCATACCTACCTAATCGTGAAGTTGTGTTGATTTGATGTGACAAATCGTGAATTCACGAAAGATAGAATAGGCGTAAACGGCGAACAAATAGGTTGAAAGGGCTGCAGAAATCCATTTCATGAAACAAAATATAAAATTCAGTTATTACACAAAAACTAAGCAACTAGCAACCTAGAGATAACAAAAGCAGACAAAAGGTTTTGAAATAAAGACATTTATTGAAATTTTGAACAGTTGGATGGATATCACGCTAAAGGTTGTGTCGAGCTGTTAACACCAAGAAAATACATGTAGAAGGAATTAGCACAAAACGTCGCCTAGAGGGTATTACTCGGTTGGCAGTTTAAAACTAATTTTTGTCTGCAACAGTAGGTAAACGTGATACCTGTATGGTAAGATTTAGAACGAAGCGGAAAGGATCGAAATGCCAACACAAGGTCTTAAGTATTGATGTTCTGAAATAAGATATATTTCATAACCTGTAATTTGAGTTCTTAATGCTATTCCATTTCTGCGAAAAAATTAGCATAATCTAAGCAGTATAAGATTTCTTAATTAATATTTAACAGAAACAGGTCAACTCACCAGTAACTTAAGGTCAGTTAATCCTGGGAGAACAACCAGTCTACAAACGTTAGTCAAGTCGAACTCCGAACTAGGAAGCGTTAAAAGTAGTGAGGTAACAAGATCAACAGATTCTTGGTGCAGTCGATGTATTCTGTCGGTAGAAAGCTTGAAACATGCGCATTCCTCTTCATGATCAGATTTTTTTGTATCGTATTCAGAATAGTGAGTAAGTACTCGACCTCCCACTTCACGAACAACTATCATAGCACAAGATGGCAAACTTGCAACTGCTAGAGAAAGCTTGGTACCAGCAATCCGAACATCTAATCTACTATCACTCAGAGCAAAATAAATCATATCCAGGAGTTGATGTGCAAACCAATCTGCATTATCAGCACTTAAACCATCAACGTTTCTGCATGGTGATTTGCCAAAATTTACGCTGATCCTGGATTGAAATGGTTGAGTGAGTAATGTGGCTATTTCTAGTGAACACAGGGTTGCATTAAGGTCAGAATCACGAACAAATATTTTCAGTAACTCCATGAGACACAAAAGAGACCGACACTGAGATAACTGTCCAGACGTCGTACAGTTACCAAAGTTTTCCGAACCAGAAAATCCGAAAAGGATTCTTCTCCCTGATGGGGTATTTATGCCTGAAATCACAAATTTGCGGATTTCTTCCGTAACTTTATGAATACCGTAGCCATCTTCATTAGGTTTGTAACCAGTCTTTTTTAAATGAGATACCAAATGATTAAATGTAGAGTGTGACATGAGATGATCTACATCTTTATAACAAATGCAAGTACAACCCGTTACAATAGAATCATAGTCCGAATTCGTCCTATCAGGTGAGACAGTCTTAAAGTTAGGGGTCTGAAATATCTGTAGATAAGATTTGTCCGGGTAAGAGTAAGAATGCTGAGCACATTTCTGACGATATTCATTTCTCTGATATGTCATTAAGACCCCATCTGACCATCGGTGAAACAATTTCAAGTGGACGTCAGATAACATTCCATCAGCATTACGACATTTCCAGGTATCACGAAGAAAATCATAAAGCTCATTGCCAAACAATTTGAGTAACGAAACGAATGCATTCTTATAGACAGATTTGTTTCCAAACGATGATACAAAACAGTCAATCAAATTGAAAAAAATGGGCTCAAAATGACAGGCAATGTCTTTTCGATCATAGGAATGGAATAAATCTGGAGTAAATATCTGGGGAAGCACTGAACACAGCGACAATCTGACGCTAGAATGGCTAGGAGAAGACAGACCGTGACGTACTAAAGAATTAATACAGGCATCTAAACTTGGAAGCTTCAAACAAAACAAAGCCACACGCAAAATAAGTCGCAGGTTCTGGGTAGCTGAACGACGACATAAAATGTCTTCCGATGACAAAGAAAAGACTAAGGCACTGATGAGATGCTCAATATTGTTAGAAATACAGGAGCAAATGTCAATGCATAAATCTCCACTGGACAACAAAGCATTTAAGGCATTTTCTGTTTTGTTCAGAGCACATAGAACGGAATCCGGTTTAGTCCAACAAACGTCCAAATAATTCGTAAAAACACAACTATGTGAAACGCCTGTGAGACTTCGATATTTTTCTTCAATAGTGTTGCAACCACCTTTCGAAATATGACCAACCGTGGTCATTAAAACTAGTGTTTGTTAAAAACTTTAAGATACGGACTTTACAAAACACGTTGAAACGACTTCAAACCGTTTTGATATTTCATTTGAAAACAAGTTTCATGATCATTATCTCAAAGAAAGTAAGAAATTATGACTAATTCCTCAGAAAAATGCTACTGTAGCAATCCCTGTGATCCAAAATGTTTACAGTGGATACTAAGTTCAAAGGCGTGTTCAACGAACCTAATTTGATAACGCGAACTGGTAAAACAAAACTTCAAAAATCAATGAAATAACAACGAACTAGATACAAACCGAAACAATTATTGGCCTGTAAAGTAATATAACATCCTTATATTACATAGCAGGTCGATTTAGACGGTTCGAGTGGTTTTTGACAGAACAAAAGAAGCTTCCGCTCAACTGGCTTTCGAATCTATTGATAGTGAATCACCAACACCTCCAGTTGATAACCTAGGTATGTTTATCAAATAAAAGATGAGTGTCGGTAAATTTTGATGGAACAACACCCTCGGTTCTTAATGATATGTCAATTTCCATCTTGAATGACTGGCGAGAAGCTCCATGGATCACCCCAGCGCGTAACGTATTCCAGATTTTGACTATATTTAAAGAGTATAAAGTGTTCCCATGATCCAATATACTATGCTACTCCCCCCATTTCTAAGCATTTTTCTTGAGGCATGTGTTAGGAATGAGCATAGATAAGTATTTGAAGGGGTGGTCAGGAGTGTTTAGGATGATATAAGTCGTTAGGTCACCACTTGGGCGCCTGTAAACCGATGATCTGAAGCACTATACATAAAGTTACAAGTTGCGTCCTCAAAGCGATTACGTGGCTTACACTCGCATACATTTCAGTGTTTTTTATATCTTTGGAGTGAGGGAGAATATATCATATTTAAACATTCTAAACGGAGCTGAATAAACCTGAAACACCAGCTGAAACATTCTTTTATCAAACCGGACAAACGTACTCTCTGACACCACCAGTGCGATATTTGCTCAAAAACACTTTTGTCACAGCTGGCGTAAAACTTTATATTATAGAATACCTGGACTCTTAGGTCTCCTGCAACCTCAGACATCTCTAGAGGAAAATTACCCACGTTGTACATGTAGTGTGCAACATGTCTCAAATGAATTATTTAACACTTCGAAGTTTTTGAAAGAAAGTTGATTGTTATCCGCACAACTGTGAGGTCGAGTAAGATCCTTCAGAAGTGCCAGTTTATCATCTTGGTTGCATACTCCCCTCCAAAGTTTGATATGATCAGCGAAGAGTGATGGCTCAAATGATATTTGGCGAAACAGGTCGTCCTTTTAGTGTGTAAAGTGAACGGGTCCTAGCACTGATCCCAGAGAAACCGCACCAAAACATTCTGTAGCCTGAAAAACGGTGAGGTTCACCCTGAACCTAAATGTAGATCATTCAGATGTGAGGTAAACCGGCCCATTAATGACTGCTTAATCCCTAACAGTTTGAAATTGTTGATAAGATACATATTATCGACATTAACAAAAGGTTTTCACAAGCAAAGGTAAATCACCTCAACCTTTCCGTTACTATCGAAGAAGGTTGTTCATTCGTCCACCACGACCACGAAGTTTTTTATTCAGGAGTGGTAGTAGGGGATTACGGATAACATCCATGTCGAGTTGAGGGTGCACATTTTATAGACTGCCCCATAAACAGTACGTTTCAGTTCGATGTCCCAAATGAAACAGAAGGCTTTCATTGAATAAACGCTTTCACAGAGGAGCCAGTATAGAGAGGTTGTCAACTGGGCGTTCTTTATGAAGATTCATGGTAGCTGTGATGGCGTCACCGGGTTTATAACTCCACAGTTTTGAATAATCTCAAATGTTTATTGAGGTCACACGACTTAAACAATTTTAACACTGTGTCATCACAATGCTGTATTGACAGTTATGAGCAATTTAACATCCTTATTGGTCCTTTTTTGCTTAACCCTGCCTGTTGAGTCCAAAATGCAAATATCAGCCTCCGCTACACGAATCATATATTTTAGGCATAGGTCAAATAAAAACTTATGATAAATGGAATACAAATATACGCAATTAAGTTACGTCACGGTTATACGATAAGAGTGTATATATACACTAGTAGTATATGACTAGTTCCCAAAAGTTACCCACAATCTATTCTTCCTTATGATATAACAAAGAAAAGAAATCAATGATCCATGTACTGAGATATTCGTAATTAACGTCGCTACAATCAGTGAGGCTACGTAACTAACAGCAGGTTCAAAATCCTTAGCATCTATAATTTAGCCTAGGCAGTTGATAGAATGAAGTTGAAACTAAAACTTGTATAGGATCATGGCAACACTCGTTCAACTTAATATTCCTAGCATGAACTACGATATCATTCTGGCACGATTTCACCTCATCAAGGTTGTCGATAATCTGATTTATAACATTCTGTAGTATCTTAGGGGAATCATTTAATCCACGCGGCAAGGACTTCTATCTGAAAAGCCCGAATGCTGTGTTGATATTAGTTGGTTCACTTGACATTTCATCCGAGGAAATTTCTTTATACACATTTACCAGGTCGATTTTAGAAGAACACTTTGGCTCTATCAATTTTTGTAGGATATATTTAGCCTCTTCGATGGTATAATTCTGTCGTAATAGCCAGAAATTCAGTATCAGGAGGTAGTCGCCACAAACTCTGTGTTTTCCCATCCGCCCATAATGGATTCATAGTGGAAGTAGACCAACCGGAGGGCTCAGCTAGGATTATTACCACTTTTTCAACCAGCATATCTAACACATTATTCGCAGTATCTCTTATACCATATAGAATTATTCCACACTTAAAGAAGACAGACTCTCCCTTTAGTCCTTAGTGTACTGGTTGAACAGTTTTGACCTCCCACGACTTTGGAGAATTTTAAGACCAAATCTTTAATCAAGATAATGTCAGAAGGATTAGCACAGAGAGAAATGAGTGACTTCAGAAATCTTAGTCCCTACCAAATTGGTAGCCAATGGTCATACCACTTTTAGGTTGTACACGGACATCGTCATGGTGCAATAACCAATTTTTTTAGAAGAAAATGACTCCGCACTACCGTTAATAAATAAATGGAGGTTGCCTGTGTTTGTATTTAATTATTTCATTAAGTAAAGCGATTTTTAATGAGGTAGTAGACGACAAGAGGCACATTCGTCTGTACAATTCAGATGATACTGACCCACAATCATTCAATTTTTTGAAGTTAATGGCCAGACACAAAGTTTTTATATGCCCAACCCTTCCACACTTAAGGTAACATGGATGGCGATACTGATATGAACCAAGAAAATGAAGTCTACCACATAAAAAACGGGATCTAATGGCAAAAGACGGGCAAAAAGTGCTTCTCAGCTATCCACAAAACCGGGGTTAAATTAGATCAACTCTCATTTAAGAAAGAAAATATATCATAGCAAAAATACCCAAACCGTAAAACCTGTGTTATATAGTCAAAAATATCGATACAAAGTATCCCGTTACATAGCGAAAAAATTATGAAATAAACAAGTGTTCGATGTCCGATAATCGAATACCATATTCCCAACAATATGTTTATGTATCAGAACATTTGAGAGCGGAAACCTATAGTGACCATGTCCTCAGAAAACTTCCTGATTCGATATGGCTTACTGTGCACATTCAGGAATGTAAAATACTAATCGGATGTATATATTGAGCTCCTAACACTCCTAGTTCAACTGGCACAATTATAAGTGAATCATTCGCTCAGGCCGCCTCGCTTGACTTCACTTACAAAATTGTTTGTGGCTATTTAAACCTTCCAACCACCAAATGGACGACACATTCTGGCCCATTGTGCTTTGACAGCATACTCAGGTCCTTAGACATACACGGTTGGCAAGAACATGTACACCCGCCTATACAAAATCACAACATTCTTGACTTGGTATTCTATCATAATGTCACACCAACATCACTGGTGGTTGGCGAAAAGTTTCACAACAGCGATCATAAAATAGTCCTCTGCACCCTTCCGATTCTTGACATGTGAAACAAATTAAAGACATTAAATACGCGTTTCCAGTATAGAGATTATGCAAATGCTTGCTGGGAAGACTTCCGATTTCTTATAAAGCACTCTGACTGGAACAGTTTGTTTACCAGTGACAACCTCTTAGAAACATTAGAAATATTCAATATCACCACCAAATCTGCACTAGACACTACTATACCCTCTAAAATTGGTTTTAAAACAGTTACTCCCTATATAAACCAAAAGACTAGGTCTAAGCTGCGAAAACTGAAAAGGACGTACTATATATCAAAAGACTTCAGTGCCCTGAACCAGATATACTCTGTACTTGACGGAGTGCAAGGTCAACACAACAAACATAAACAAGCAGATGAACGTACTGCGCTCACTGCTGCATCTAAAGCCCAAGCCTTATGTCGTCTCCACGCAAAACCCATAAGAAAGAACCCAGATCACAACATTCACTCCTTACTGAACGATGGAGTGACGTATAATGACCAAACTGTCATATATGAACTATTACGTGAATGGTTTTCCCAAAATGGGAATACATCTCGTGCCCCAGATATCAACATAAAGTGCATCAGCAAAAGTTATCTTAGTATCATATACTTCGACATTAGGAGTATACATACCTCCATTAAAACCCTTAAGCCAAATGCGAGTTCTGGTGCCGATGACATCCCTTCAATCCTTTATAAAATGTCAGGACCGGACATACAGATGCTATTACTCAAAATATACACATTATTTTTAAAGACAGGTACATATCCGGGAAGCTGGAATGTAACGTGTGTTCTTCCCAAACACAAATCCGGACCGAAAAACCTGGTCGTAAACTACAGACTCATAAATATCACTCCAGTCATATCACGCATAATGGAAAAAGTGTCACAACACAGCCTTTGATAAATTACCTCATAATCTTCTAATCAACAGACATAAGTGGGTTGGAATTATAAATCCCCTTTTGCAATGGATCAAGTCTTTTCTTACGAATAGATACCAAATAGCCAAGACTAAGTCGACAACATCTACACCTCGGCCAATAACCAGTGGTGTTGTGCAGGGTAGTGTCTTGTGTCCATTGCTCTTTATAATCTACATCAACAATATATGCAAGTGTTTTAGCACAGGTAAGACCTATCTCTGTGCCGATGACTTAAAAGTCATCT